CTCCAACGTCCATGAACGTCGCTATATATGTAATAATCTTAAACGCGACGTCAACGCACGCACACACACACGCACGCACGCACGCAAGCACGCACGCACACACACACACACACACACCTATGAAATAAGAGCGAGGTGCTGCACTCAAGCGTCAAGTGGAAGGCCAGCAGGGGCTGCTCTCAGTGTAAGTGTTTGGGTGTCGGAGATGGACAAGATGTAGGGCACAATGTCAACATCGTTATCACCAAGGTCCATACTGACATCTTGACGAGGGTGTGACCAGAGATATAAAGAAGGATTTGTCTGCTGAGGGACCAGATACCGATCGGTATCGGTATATGATTTCTGGCCTGCTCATGATTTGACTTCTGGGTTTCGGGTATAAATCTTCTTTACTCATAAAGTAGTGGAGGCCATAGGCCCATTCTACATCTACATCATTGCTTGAGAGAGTAACAGCATATATGCATTGGTGCATTGATAAATCTTAGTTGCATTGACTTATATACAAACGTTGCAAGATTTTAAACAGTTTCTGGATTTTTTGAAGACATTTGTAAGTTACATTTATGTAATGCTGGATGTAAGTAGTATTTTGGGGGTATATACATACTCCTGAGATTACCATAAATATAACACACAATTACAAGATGGTGTTCATCCTCTATGTATCTTAGTTTGCATACATGACATAGTCTCTGATTTTACTTCTTTAACCAGTTTCATTTCGGAGCTGGTGTGAAAAACATCTAGGTTGAGCTAATGCAGCACTGAATTTCGAAATGGAAATTTCTTTGATATAGAATTCGAGGCCAAAGGATATCTTGAAGTCCTGCACCATGACCGTGGAATATATTTATTTTATGAAAAAATAATAATCTAGAAATGCATACAAAAGCAAGTCTAGCCAGCTCAAGCTAGCTCTATCTGAAATCAGCATAGGGAATTTTTTTTATTTTAAGAGTCAAGAAGGATATTGTGTAATATAAGATTTCAGAGACTAAATGTTAGTCTAGATATCTTGAAGCGTAGGTTACTAATTTAGAGCTGGGGAAAAGTGCTGCATGCCAATCTTGCGCGGAGGATGATTTCAGTCTATGTACAAACGCAGATATAAAACTAGACACATGATATGCATGTTCTTGTTGCCAGACGTATCTGAAACCAAGCCTGTTTAAAATATCTTTAATTGTTCAAGCCCGGTTAATTCTTACCATTCACACAATCTAGAACTAATAAGTTGTAACAATTCTTCATATATCTGGTGTCAGGCATGTTAATTATTATACACCAGTTTTTAACACCCCTTTCATATGTGACACATAGAATATCGCCCACATTCACCCCCAGCTACATGGTTTGAGCACGGTGTTTTAACACATAAGAAACGTTTAAAAGCAAACATTTGTATTGTTTCGCTTTCTTTGTGAATATACAGCCCCAATATTTGTGAACCATAAGTAAGATGGGACTAACTTTGGTATAAAAAAACTTTAAAGCATAGATCATATGAGAGTGGCTAAATCCTACAATATTTGAATACACCACACATTTCGGGTATAATAGTTGATGATTTGGACGCCCGTGTCTCCTTTCTGGCGCAAGATTAAAAGTGAATGTGTGAACTGGGCTAACGATTCTTTGAACAGTATTTCAGTAACATCACGGCATATCAGCTTACTGTGGTAAGTGCATGTCTATAACGTGAGTGAAACCCACCAGGGTATGGTGGTGTCATAATCAGGTCAAATCTGAGATTCGAATCCACGTTTTGAATATAACTGAAGGCAAAGGGTACGCTAGGGTCTGCAGAGCGAATAGCGGCGCCTTATACCACTGTGCCATCCTTGCAACGCCGACATGAGCGTGACCGTAGTTAAGGTCCCCACAATATTGTTTGTTTGTTTGTTGTTTAACGCTGACCACCCCGATACCGTTAGTCGCCTCTTACAACAAGCACAGTCGCCTTTTACGGCAACATGGGTTGCTGAAGACCTATTCTACCCCGGAGCCCAATAGCTTCGTGACGTTACCATTTCCCTTCCTATCATCACTAGATTTGCGTAGAACCTATTTTTTCTATCACATGTACATTTGCAAAAATGTGGCCTTGAAACAGAGTGGCCAAGTCGTCTAAGGCGCCGCAATTCGCTGTGCAGAGTTGCGTCCCTTGGACACGCCAGAAACCTAGGATCGTGGGTTCAAATCCTGGTTCTCCCCGTTCATGCAACTAAGTTCGTCAGTACAATACCCGTACTCGTGGTTTTCGCCATTCGAAGTGGTAAACTTGTGAGACATACATCACCACAGGTTTTCCTCCCACATTAAGCTGACACGCTGTGATATAACTGGAATACTGTTAAGCGCCGTTAAACCCAACTCAAGAGGCGTTAAACCCAACTCACTCACTGAATTTATCAAAACTGTTTTCAAGTATTGAAATGATAAACGTCGTAAATAAAAAACAGAAAAACATATGAATAACGATGTAATATTGTATATCTTTGTCCATGGATGATATACACACCTGGACAAAACGTACATCTTATATAAAACAATAATACCTTCTGAAACGACAGTATAGGAACACTGCCTCGCCCCATAGTACAGAAGTACTGTGTAACATCGTGTGATATAAAGGAGCAGAGGAACCAATTGAAGAGTAGTCAAATAACTTTAGTCATGGAACACTTGGATCCATGATGGAACACTTGGATCCATGACTTTTTTTAAAACCCGTGAAGATCCGGGGTAGAATAGGTCTTCAGCAACCCATGCTTTCCGTAAAAGGCGACTATGCTTGTCGCAAAAGGCGACTAACGGGATCGGGTTGTCAGGCTCGCTGACTTGGTTGATGTATGTCATCGTATCCCAATTGCGTGGATCGATGGTTATGATGTAAATCACTGGATTGTCTGGTCCAGACTCGATTATTTACAGACCGCCGTCATATAGCCTGAATATTGCTGAGTGCGGCGTAAAACAACAAACCTAACCAAAACATGACTTCTTTTGTTCAGTATATATACATATTTTTTTCCTATTAAGTCGTGTTTAGTTTTTTTGCCGGACGTGTATATGAAATGACATTGCTGGGGAATATGGGACGCCTGCAGTACAACAACGGTGTTATGCTAGACTCGGCAATGTGTGGGTCATGACGACACAAACATGGGGTTCGGGGGTCAAAATTTGATGAATAAAGTATTTTATCAAAATCACGTGGGCCTATCAGATCTCGTCATTCTGACATGGAGGTGTGATAAAGGAATATACCGAGCTACTGGTAGGTGAACTGTTAGTTATCATGAGAATTGTAGTTATCATAGGTAATTACAGGTTAATTATAAATTTGGAACGTTTCTTCATACTTATATCACAGGCATTTGCTATGTAACGAATCAGTCTGTAAAGAGTTTTTACTGATGTTCACTGATCGTAAAAGTTGACCTATTGTTCAAATAACGTCACGTGAAACAATTCGTTGATATGACGTCATGTAGCTATTGTCTGCTTCGCAAATTATGAAAGCAAAATAAGAATTGGCACAAACTAGCCAATCAGTATGAAACAAAACGTATACTTATATAGGTATTGCAAAGCACTGAACACGATTAAGTTGGTTTGATGTTTAACGCCGCACTCAGCAATATTCCAGCAATATGACAGCGGTCTGTAAATAATCGAGTCCGGACTCTATCCATTGATTGATATCATGAGCATTGATCCACGCAATTGGGATACGATGACATGCATCAACCAGGTCAGCGAGACTGACAACCCGATCCCGTTAGTCGCCTTTTACGGCAAGCAAACACTTTCTTACCTGCGAAACTACCCGGTAGTGCAAGTCTTTAAATGAGTCGCATGTTATATTGTTTTGAGCAGGTTACTTAGCGCATCAGCCTGACCTACGTTCCGAACACTTTAAATATTGTTTGTTTGTTGTTTAACGCCGCACTTAGCAATATTCCACCTATATGACGGCGGTCTGTAAATAATCGAGTTTGGACAGGCAATCCTGCGATTGACATCATGAGCATCGATCCACGCATTTGGAATAGAATGACATGTATCAACCAATTGCAAGTAGCGAGTTTGACCACCCGATCCCGTTAGTTGCCTCTTACGACAAGCATATAAGTCGCCGTTTACGGCAAGCATGGGTTGCTGAAGACCTATTCTACCCCGGATCTTCACGGGTCGAACACGGGTAAGAGACTAACTATGCACGGATTAGCTGTCCTTAGTGAATGAGTAGCATTCACCCCGAGGCTTTGGGATTCAGTCTCGGGCACAAATAATCCCTAATTCCGAGTTTCCAGTAGGCTAAATCAATATTTATCATCCAAAACAGTCTTTAACCTCCCTTGAGATATCTACCAGGCGATATCGCTTCAGTGAATTTGCAGGTCATTGTTGCGAAATCGTTACCATGACGTCACAATCATATGACATCACTAATCTCTCTGCACTGAAGCTAGGTAAGCTGTTACTATTTACAGCCTCGGAGTATTAATATTTATCGACTCGTGATGATATATTTGATTTCAAATGACACTGGGGTGATATTCTCTTTACATCGCGCATTGTCATTACAAGAAGGGTAATGAAAATAGACATATAAATATCAAAACCAAAGAAACTCTCAGCCTATTGTTTAGATGTTGTTAGTGACGCCATTTACTATGGATAACGTCATGTCCTTTTCCCTTGAAGTCATGACGCTTCAAGTGACGAATCATCATTGAAAACATGCGCAGATATGACACAAATAAGTGTATCATTATTTTGCCCGCTCCTAACCTGGACAATCTGGACTAATCTTATTAATCTTATTTACATAGTTCATCATTTAGAAATATATATTGAATTGCTGAGATTACACCCCTCCTCTCTTTATTCTACCCAGTTGTATATTTAAGATGCCTATGTACATAGTTAGCTTCATCGAAATTATAACTTATGTCAGCGTGTATTATTATATCCCGCTTCGATAGTGCAGCCTTGCAGTCCTGAAAGGTGAAGGTCGCGAATCGGCGCGAACAGTCGTATGAAGCTGACGAAGCGAGGGTAGGGCTCAGTGATTTTACAGATCGTCTTTGACAACCAGGTATGCGAATCGCATATTAATGTGATTAATACATATTTTCGCTATTTCATAGATTCCCATGACATGTAGATCCAGCTCGTGTACGAACATGGTGCGGTCAGCGAGAGCAATAATGCAGTTCACGAACGGATTGTGTACCTCGCTTGAGATCAAGTTTCGAACATGTGCTGTGGAGATGTAACGTACAATGATGTATTCAATGAGTCTATCATTCATGTCCGATGTCAGATATAAGAGCAATATTGTATCTCAATATAAGATAAGAAACAGTTGAGTTCTGTCTCCCTGCATGCTGAATCGATCAGTAACTTTACATCGTGCACTGTAGTCTGTACTTTCCTTTTTGATACATGAACATGTTGAGCTTTGCGAGACAATCCTATAACATATTATGTTACGACTATACATATATGCACAGTATTAACTTCTTTTATTATTCAGTTTTTTGTAAGTTACCCGCTAGAAGGGATTATAGGGATATAAAGCCCATTAAGGGATTATGTGGCTATAAATCCGATTAAAGGTTTTAAGGGATAAGCCAGTCAAACATCTATATGACTATCAGCTAATGAGTATAAAATAAGACTAAGACTAGATATACAAGAAAATATGTTTTCAGTTAGATATTACATCAAACCATTTGGGCACACATGTTCTTTATAAATATACGAACTGCAGGGTTTTGACCAAGACTTGGCAGGCCTGTTTTAGCACTGGTTCATTTTGACCGCTGCCCTTGAATGCACGCTAGGGCCGGGACGGGTAACTCGGGTACTCGGGTCGGGTGGGTACTGAGTAGGACCCGGGTACCCACAGGACTACCCGGACCCGTAGTAAGTCACGTGATTATATTGTTTAATGCCAAAACATATTTAGAACACTATGGCTACACAATAAGTGACAACTATCTTTCTGACTATACACACAATCCTCCTGACTTTATATGTTTGCATTATTATATAACTTCAGTCAACTGCAGTGTTTGCATGACCAGATCGGTTTATACGTTTATCTAAATATATTTTGACAGGAGTATGGTCAAACGTTTCCCAATCAGACATTTTGTACCCCTCTCTTGTGACCTACAGCGGGTACCTGGGTAGGGTCGGGTAATAGGGGGTTGGGTACCCGGATAGTAAATTTGGACTCGTCCCAGCCTGAATGCACACCATGCAATAATAGGGTAATCTCTCATTGAACATGTTGAACAAGCTAAATCCTCCAACTGTGCTTTAATTGTAAGTAAAAAAAACAGTATAAACTACCTATACTAAAGTGAAACTGCGTAAATAGTCATACACTGTTAGGCTATGTGATGTTGTGACAGTGGAGAACAAGGACCAATGTGAAGGCCAAGCGAGTTTCCTAGTCATACAAATGTCTCTTTTTTATCTGCTAGTTCTAGGTTTTATGTTGTGTATCATTCTAGTAACTAATAGTTCTCTCTAATTATACTGACCATATCTCAATTTTCACAATGTCTAGACCAAGACAAGCTTCTTGTCATCAAAGACTCTATGCACTAAGTCATCTCTTAGCTGGTGAGCGGAAGGTCAGTGGTTGGATCCCCTTTCCGCAACATACCAAAGGCTATAAACTATAAAGATGGTATTTGTTGTTACCCCGCCTGGCACTATTCGTAAAGGGGATAAAACAAGGACTGGCCAGTAGGAGTTATAATGAATCTTTTCATAGGCAAAAGGCCCATAGACATACAAAGATGTGAGGGTGAAACGATACACCGATATTCTGATGCATCGCGATACTCGACTCACGATACGATATATGATAAACGTGGGCCGATTTATCGATACGCCACGATATGGAACGCTGATCTCAAATACAGTGTTTCCTCGCTATTGTGCCTTTCAATAAACCGCTAACTTGGTTATAGAGCGCGGTAACGCATGGCTCCTCAAAACGTACTTATATTTTTAATAACTCAGGTTTTACACTGACAGATGTTTTTCCCCATCTCAAAAAACATCATCAGCTGATCACCGCAAGCACATAACACCAGAAATACCAGTCAGCAATCTGAACTGAAGTATGCAATTTAATACCATTATTATACTATCTTGTTATTAAAACATGTTCATTGTATAACCAGACTTGTGTTTGTAATATATTTTATTAATTTTATTCAAAATTTCATTTATATTGTTTTCATTAAGTTAAATCGTGTGTAATACATCAACCACGGTCAGATTACCGCTTTTGATGCATTGTAACAAACGTTAGTTGCTAGAGAATGGATACATATATTAAAAATGCCATACTTTGATGTGCCAATTTAGCTAATATATCATATGTCAACATTTTCGCAATCGAAATACATGTAGCGCGGGAAGTCTCTATGGTGACTGGTCAAGTTGTTCCATACGTAAAAATATCCTGCAACAGCAATCACCAGTACCAAAATGCTGTGCTTGTGGTTCTTATAATTTTAAATATATATATAGTAAAAGCTGCAACTAAAGTAACACGATATTGGAATATATTATTCCTGATAAAACAATAATTTCAGATACAATTTCTTCGACCATTACATAAAAATTCTTTGAAGTTGTATCACTGGTGAAGTACATTAATTATTTTCTGGTGTTTGAACTTTGAATTGTTTTGAAGGAAAGTTAGAGAAAGTTCCACTTTGAAGCTTAACAACTTCAGTAGTCTTGTTATTATAAAATAATTTTGACTGTTCCCAAATCATGAAAGGTTCAATCTTGACATGCTTTAAGTCTTGTTTTTTTTATCATTGCGTATCGTGACCAGAAGATTGAGATGCGTATCGTATCGTGACCTTGCAGCCCTAGACATGGTGTTTGGCTTATAAATGAATATGTAATATAACTTAATAATGTGGACTGATATTTTAAGTTTCATAGCGTGATATATATACTACTCAAAAGAAGTGAAGGATCACCTGATTCTTTCATATTACAATAGTTAATCTCTCATGCCATGACAGATTAACTTTACCAATATGAAAGAATCAGGGGTTCCTTAACTTCTTTTGAGTAGTATATATGACAAAGTTTAGATATGTCATTTGCTTTGTATTGAGCGATTTTCTGTTACACTATTTTCACTTGTAACACAAACTCAATATTTCACCTCAGCACTGCATGTGATGTGATGTTTTTATGCCCTTTTTAACGTCGTAATAAATTTTAGTCAATCTGTTTGAATTTCAGTCAATTTGTAAAATATTTAGACATTTTATAAATTGCCTGAGTGCATCACATTTTACACATTGACTGTAACATAAATCATGCCTACAATCAAAAAGCCTTGTGGATGCATCGAAGAACTTCCCAATGAAAACATAGAGGAACAAGAATGATTCTGTTCAATGCGACAGCAAGTAAATGAAAACAAAATGCACATATCGTAATTACAACCAATTATAACAAAGTTATTTGAATAATACAGTCGTTCCTCGCAATAACGCCCTTCAGGAAACCACGGACTTGGTTAAATTGCGTATTAGGCAGTTGCCTTGTGCGAGGAATGTATCCATAAGTATAATCCACATAAAGGAACGTCTGCAGCTGTACAAAGATACTTGTTTCATGTCACATGTCTTTGTAACAATCAAAGTATATATAGCGTTTCTGGATATACCGTATTCGACGTAATAAGCGCCCCGCTCTAATAAGCGCCCACGGCGATATTTGCTGATATATTGGCTAGTGAAAAAGCCCAATTTGCATCCCTTCCGATTGATCAATGTACAAAGGACTTCTTTATTCGCGTATAATACGCACTCGTGTATTATATACACCCTTAATTATGGGCAATTAAATTCTGGAAAAATATATCTGTCGCATATAAACACTTCAGGCTGTCAGCATAAACCACGAAATTTATCTTTCATCTATGTTTTTTTTCACCAAAATAATATTCTAATAAGAGCCCCCTATTTCTAATTTTGAGAGCGCCCCGGGCGGTTATTACGTCGAATACGGTAATGACCTGTGATCCAACTGATCACGTAAGTTTGTTTGAGGTGGTTGAAACGTCTCTATGGTGTCAAGTCTCAAGTGAATCGTAACAGCCTAATACTATTAAACACCTGTGCACAGGTACTCATGTTGGTTCAATCTGTAGCTAGCCACTGCTTTCATATGTAATGTGGCGATGTGTAAAATGAATAGAAGGTTTGTTTTGCCACGTGGATGGTTTAATGCTCATCCATAGTCAACAGAACCTGACATCTGTTCACAGGCTGACACCTGTAGCCAATATCATTGACAGTGTAGATAATATTTCTACGACAGCCTGGTTTTTGACACACACAGATATGGATTGCTGCCCAGTTCTAGTGTGTCAACATGGTGAAGGCCCATGGAGTTGTGGTATTGGGCAAAGCAGCTTCTCTCAAAAGTTTCTTTTTAGTTTAAAGGCTACTGTTTAGGCCCAAAAATAATAATTATTAGATTTTCGTCCATGTTTTATCCCCCTGGCATGTAATGCTGGGGGTAAAGTCATCATTTGGTCCATCTGTATTTCATTTCCGGAGCATAACTTGAAAACCGTAACATATGAAGTGGTCCCTTTTGCTATTTAGGAATCTTTCAAAATTAAATTTTCTTGACTAAGCTGAAACGCAGGTAGGTGTCGTTTCCAGAGCAGAACTTAAAAAATATCAGAGTTTTTTCATCCAAACTTGGTACATGTATTAATCAGGCTGAAGTGGTGCCTTTTGCTAATTAGAAAAAAAAATTAAAATATTTATTTCCTGTTACCATGGCAACAAGTTTGACTTTGACTCTGTTCATAGTGGTATGTTTGTTCAGACCATATCTCTAAAACTAATATGTACTCTTTCTTGACACTTTGCAAAGCCCAAAGACCAGGTTGTAAACTCGTGCCTTTTGCTATGTAGAGATTTTTAGAATTTATACTTTTTTTGTTTCCATGGCAACAAGTTTGAATTTGACTCTTTTCATATTGGTGTGTACCTGACATAGTTCTGAATCCCAGTTCCAGAGGGCTTTCCAACACACTAATGTGTCTGTCCGTGTATACTCATGTATATGGACACACATTAGATAGAAATTCTCTCGTCAAGCTGGACTTACATCATGTACATGAACAGTCAGATGATTTGTTTTTTTGAATTTGTCGGGGCCGGGGGGGATTTGTCATCTTCTGGTGACTCTTGTTTCAAAACGTGAGGAGGGTGTTTTTTAATTATTTTTATACTGTTCAAGGCAACTGTGTATATGAAGTCAGTAACTTGCCTATGGATGGGCACCATTGTCTTCTTGTTTGCTTTATCAGTGATATGCATAAGAGAGGATTTTGAGACTGAATTCGCTTCGGAATATCAATTAGTGTCTTACATCTACTTGCCTGAATAGTGAGAAACTTGTAAGAGCAAACATGTGACTCAAAACGTTTGAAATGCTACTGGCCCTCAGAATAGCTGTGAACTAATTAAGCGGGACTGTATTATAGCATGAGATGCTCTAAGTTATTATAAGGCGGGTGTATATGTTAGCATCAGGTGCTACAACTGTATAAAAGCTCAAACTCGGTTACAATGCAAGGTAACTCAATGCTTCCCAAATTGATGTACATGATTAATAAACTCAGGTTTTACAGACACAGTCATTGTACTTAATGGTCCTCATTGAATAATATACAGTTTCCAGCTGATTAGAGCCCGAATAATCTGTTTAAAAATAACAGTGATAAGTTCCAGAAATACGATTGTTCTATGAATTAACTTGTCATACTGTATATCCTTTGATCTTTGAAACATTTACATGCAATAACATTGAACCACAAGCCAAGCTCACATTCTTCGTGGAAATCCAATTTGACGCAACAATGTCAAACTGCATACACACAGTGTGTTGTCTTCAGAACATGGCGGTCATTCCCTTTTGATTCGGATCAAATTATTGTACCAAAGCAATTAATCTGGCTTGACATACGTTACTGTCTATAAGGGTAATTTATCATCACAGAGGGTTTGCCCTAAAACTCAATGATCGCTCATCTAAACAATCATGGACTTGCTTTTATTACAGTGGAACGCAAATGGCCTTTAGAGCCATGGCAATGAACTAAATGCACTTGTCAACAGGTGATAAAGTCACACGTCATTCTTATACAGGAGACTAAACTCAGCGAAAAAGCCAAATTCACACTACCTGAGTACACACAATATAGAAAAGCAGAAAAAGTCTTATGCTTGGTAACAGGAGAAGATGACTTATCACCCTTGTCCAAGACTGCTGTACCTACAATAGTATTGAAACTAATGCAGGTAACTTGAAACCCAAGTAATCTCCTTAAAACTGGCAAATGGCGATGAATTACGCATAGCTAACATGTACCACAGGGTTACCCATGAAACAAACACGGAAGAGCTCACCAGACTAGCTCAAGTAGTAGGCAAAAATGGGATAATCCTTAGTGCCTTTAATGCCCACAGTACTTTATAGGAAGACAAGAACAATCCGTGCAAATATGTCAAAATCGTAGAGAAATGGGTTGAAGATCTCATGACTCTAAACAACGGCAGTCCCACACGTGATGACCGTGACAACTCATGGAGTTCAATTGAATTCTCAATTGCCACTACCAGCCTCGCCGCACATTGCCAATGGCAAGTCCATGATGACACTTGGGGAAGCCTTCCTGTACTCATCTACATAGGTAGCCCACCACAATGAGAGGAACAGCCCAATCCTCAGCCCACATGGGACTATGCAAAGGCTGATTGGCCCAAATTCAGGAAGGAATGTATATCATTCAAAACCTCAGAAATTGCCTCGGATAATCCTGATCTTTTTTGCCAAAATCTCACCTCAGCAATTATTGCCGCAGCTGAAAATTCAATTTACAAAACCCCACAAAACCGGCAAAACTCTGGTACCATGGTGGAACAGCGAAATAGCAAAAGCTAGGAGAGTGAGAAAGAAAACCCTTAATAGATGAAAAAGGGATAAATCAGCCCTCTCCCAAGTTTGGGCAGCCATGACTAAAGTAACACACCTCATAGGCATTTCTGAAAAAGAGTCCTGGCAGACCTGCAAATCTCTATATAAAATAAAATGCCAAATCAGTCTGGAGCAAAATACACGCAATCAGGGGTAAGCATAAACCTACAAAAATTCCCACGTTAGCCAACGTCCACACAGTCAAAGAAAAGGCCAACATTCTAGCCGAGCACTTCTCATCTGTCAGCTGCAACAAAAATTGCAGCAAAGAATTCAGACAGGAACAGAGGCTTATGCCTACGATATCGAAACAGCTGCAAAGCAAGCATCTGGTATACAATATCCTATTTACTGTGACAGAGTTTTATGATGCAGTACAACATAGAAAAGGCACTGTACCTGGTCTTGACACAACCAATTACGAGATATTGTTAAACCTATCTGATCAAACCAAGAGCTTACTCACTGAGTTGTGCTACATGATATGGTCCAAAGGAGAAGTCCCAAAATCATCGAAACATGCTGCAGTTATCCCGCTTCTAAAGCAAGGGAAAGATGAAGCCCTACCAAACTCTTATCGACCGATCTCACTCTAACATGGCCAAAGCTGTGGAAGCCATGGTTACAAACAGGCTCATGCATCACCTTGAAACTGGCACTTCATTAAACCTGATCACAACGGCTTCAGCAAGGGACACTTATGTCTAGATCATATACTAAGACTGGAAAATGAAATAAGAAAAGCTCTATTAAACAGACAATACCTAGCAGCAGAATTTTAGACATCAGCAAAGCCTTCGACATGGTATGGCATGATTCCTCATAAAACCAGCACAAAATGGAGTAGAAGGGAACATGGCAAACTCAGTAGCTATCACCAAAAATTCAATCTACCTGGGACAGCTGGGCCCATACATATACACTGATGGATCCAAGAATCCTATCAACAGCACTGCAGGTTACGGGATCCATAGCTGCAAACCCCAAGCACATTCGGTCCACCTGCTTGATCAAGTTGATGGTCAAGTCATATGTTTCATATGGTTAAAGAAAGACTGTATTCTAGCATATATTCAGTTTAGTTGTTCTATGTACATAATGCAATGTGACTCCCGATGGGAACAAACCTCGGCTGACATTATTGAAAACCAGTGTCGGAAATAACGTCCTGTCCTACTGCCCATGGCTGGTAACTTTTCTCTCTGTCTGCACAGACAGCCTCCGTGGTCTAGTGGTAGAGTGTCCGCCCGGAGAGCGGAAGGTCCAGGGTTCCATCCCCGACTGAGTCATACCAAAAGACGTTAAAAGATGGTACTTGTTGTTACCCTGTCTGTCGCTTGGCATTAAGGGGCTAAAACAAGGACTGGTCGGCTCGGAGTCAGTATACTGTGTCTGAGTGGGGTATTCATGTTAAACTGCGGCATGGTGGTATCTCAGTGAGCTAGCACTATTAATCGGCATCAGCTCGGACTAGTACAAGCAGCCACACAAACACACACGCGTACATGCACGTCGCTATATAAGTGCAATAATCTTGGACGCGACATTCAACCCCATTTCACCTCACCTCACCTCTGTCTGCACGAAATATTCCTGCACCTGCCCGACTGTCAGATAATTTTAAGACTATAAAGTATTCAATTTTATTAGGATTCCTCGTGTATTCTCAAGTAATTGTTTGCATTATTTCAAATGAATCATGGCGAAATTTGTCCCTAATGTTTCTCGATTTTTCAATATTTATGATGTCTGAATGCGGGCAGGTCACATTGAAGATAGGCAGGCAACATTAGTGGGTAATCTGCCCGACTGTCATGTTGGTTTTTTAAAATTATTTCAAACACTGTTGGAAACTGGCTAGCTGTATTCATGATGCTCATCATCAGTTGACATATATCATGTTTATGGTGACCACCGCTTGGCCCACTTTCTCTAATCCACTATTTCCCATTATCTGTAAGTAAGATATTCAGTTGTATATTTTGTAACCATAATAAAACGACAGTGTTTCCTTTCCTTCCAGCAGACATGATGGCCAGCCCAGGGAGACTGCGCTATCTGTATGTGGTGTGGGCATTTGTGGAAACCATGCTGTTTGGAGGCCTCATCTATGGTTGGAGCTCCCTTGTCTTTATCCTGAAGGCCAAGTTTGTGTACCAGGACTTGTGTAGTGAGAGCCAAGTGGCAGGACCAGACAACAAGACAAGCAACATGCTGCGTCTGTCCATCACTAGCAGCCCACTGGACAACTCAACACCCATATATATAAGTGAGGCAGATGGCTTTCTGCATGCTTATAGTCATGTACACTAGGCATGCGTCATGCGTTTTTTACAAAGCAGTTACATTTGTATTCTACATTTAACTTGTTTAAGATTAAAATGATTTTTCTAAGACATAAGACAGAGATTATTTTGACGTTGGATGTTATTCTTCCAAGTTGTCAGATACTGGGACATGCTTCCCTCTACCATGTCCAAAGGAATGAAACTTTATATACTCACTGCCAAAAGAAACGCGAATACCATACCATACCATATATTCAAGAGATATTTGTATGGTTCGATGCACAAATGAACATTCTGTTATGTTGCTCAAGAACACATCACATGTGACGTCGACCTGTGAAGATTTCAGGGTAGAATAGGTCTTCAGCAAGGTGACTATGCTTGTCGTAAAAGGCGACTAAGATGATCGGGTAGTCAGGCTTGCTGACTTGATTGATACATGTCATCGATCCCAATTGCGTGGATCGATGCTTATGATGTCAATCACTGGATTGTCTGACTCGATTATTTACAGACGGACGTCATATAGCTGGAATATTGCTGAGTGTGGCGTTTACAAACAAACAACACAAAACGTGTGACGTCATAGATTCATGACTCAAGATGAACCATTTGTCTTGTACATGATTTGCGTGTAAAGTTTAGAAATCACGAGTAACATATCGTGATAAGAATAAAGACACCCTGTGGTAACACTTGACTGATTGCTAGTTTTGTCATTAAGTGGTACTCTTTGGAAACATCTCTTCTTAATGTGCATACTACTCTCTATGTTTGTATGGTTTGAGTATCTTTTTGGCAGTGAGTATATTTACGCCTTTCTTAACAAATCCCACCTCAACAACATTTATAACAAAGGTCAAGGTCACCTCTGAGATAAAAGTGACAGTGTAATTGTATCATATTTTCTGAATATGGCACAAAGATTAATGACATTTATGGATATCAAGCAATTGACCTCTTTTACATGGACTTAGGAATTTCTTGTCACATTCTATGAAGTTAAAGGTCAAGGTCACAAGATAGAAAAAGATGTTTATCCTTTCTTACGCTTTCAAGTATGAACCTTCTTTAGATGGGACCCCGTTTTGGAAAGATTTTGGTCAAAATATATCAAGCCCAAGCTCATTATTCAGATTTCTGTGAAACATGGTTATGTCATTGTCAGGTGTGGGTTTTTTTAGGGGGATGGGGGCAGGTTACCTCTACTGGCATGCTGCTTTATGCTTGTCTGTCTTATCTGTTTAAATCCTAAATGTTGGTTTCATGTCTATCAAAATGAAAACGTCAGGATCATTTACATGTATCTTGTAACATGTTTTTGCATAATTCATTGCTAGTTTCTGTTGTACTTTTACCTGTACAATCCTGACTTGTGTAGTTGTTGGATATTTTGAATTTTGAGCTTTGAGAAAATGTGGGAGAATGGGCTGTTCCTGTGTTTTCAAGTACCCTGGTTGTAAAATTTAAATATGATGCGCTGGTTAAGGCCATTATAAATTAATTGCTTGATTATCATCCGCTTCTTGGGGAGGCAGGCTTTTTAATTTTTATTTTCGATTAAAGTCGTCAAGTTGGTATGAACACCTCATACACCTAGGTATGAACAATAGATGACTGAAATAACAAACAGTGACAGACAGTATAATAAATATACAGTGATCCCTCGTTACAACACCACCTTCGGGATCCAAATAATTGAAGAGCTTTATAGATGATCAGCGGATAAACGAAGGTCGAGTCATATCGAGTACCGTATTCGATGTAATAAGCGCCCCGCTCTAATAAGCGCCCACGGCGATATTTGCTGATATATTGGCTGGTGAACAATCCCAATTAGAACCCCTTCCGATTGATTGATCAATGTACACAAGACTTATTTATTCGCGTATAATACACACTCGTGTGTTATATGCACCCTTAATTATGGGTGATTAAATTCTGGGAAAATATATCTGTCGTACATAAACATTTCAGGCTGTCACCATTAACCACGAAATTTATCTTTCAACTCTGTTTTTTTCACCAAAATAATATTCTAATAAGAGCCCCCTATTTCTAATTTTGAGAGCGCCCTGGGCGCTTATTAAGTCGAATACGGTATTAATATGCGCTTTCAAGAAAAACAAAAAACACATTGTATCCCTTCAGGTGAATAAGCAGGTAGATCTATAACACACTTGGTCAATAAGAGTATGAAGTTGATATAAAACATCACTAGACATGATGATTTACCATTTTAAATGTATTTCCTGCTCTCAAAGGCTGGATCAGCAGATAATGTATTCTGAGATGGGGGAAAACATCGTGTCTTTGGAAAACTTGAGTTTATTGAAAATGTTGGTAAATTTTTGGAGCCATGCTTTACCGCGGGCTATAACCGAGTTAGCGCTATATTGAAGGACACAATAACGAGGGAACACTGTATGTCGATTTCAATAGTAGTAGTCAGATGTATGTGTCAACCCTATTTTCATTATCCCTGTACTTGTGCGTTTATGAATTTATCCTCAATTGACGTTAACTTGTCAAGTTCCCCACAAGCAAACTTGTTGAAGAGTCATTGACTCTGGCAAAGGACAGACATACCAGTCTTTTATGGTGTGCACACCCTCCTGTATTTTCTAAATAGTGAGCACCATCTTGACAGGTGACAGCAAGCAGATAATAGGCAGACACACACCGAAAGTCGGTTGTAGACCAGTTTACAGCATGTCGTAAACATGAAATGGCCATTTGACAGCTGATGTTACAGTGCTCTAAACACTTCACTTGGGCAAAAAACATGAATTTGTCAGGGGGTTAGTCGTGAGTCGGGCAGGGATGATATTATAGCAACTAATTTGTTATGGCCTAATCAAGGACACTCCATTAGCAGGACTAGTAGATTAAGAAATTCATTATGAACAGATCTACTTAAATCCTTAATTAGTGCTTCATATCAAATTGAGAGGACATTGTTTTCCTTCCTTATTAAAGTTATTAAGGTTGATAAATCTTGGTTTATAACAGGAAAGAGAAGATTGGGGAGGGTCAGCTGATTGGTAACTGACATTTTTAGCTCACCTGACAGAAAGTCAAGTAAGCCTATGTCGTGGTCTGGTTGCCCGATGATAACTTTTACATTTTCGACATCTCTGCTAAAACAAGGCCTATGGATTTGAACCATTGTCTGAATCTCCCAACTATAGTGCCTGATAATTGCTCATAAAATTCTGATCCAACTTCAAACATGGCCACCATGACAGACATTGAGAAACCTATTTATTGTCATTACTTTGTCCTTTGGTTCAAAATGTAATTAAGTTTGGGACATAGATCTATGTAGTTTGTTATAGTGGGACTCAATAGTGTCTGTGTTTTGCGATGTTTCAAATTTGGACCTTGATTTGATCATGTTCTCTTTGCATTTCAACCAAACGAAAAGCTGAAACTTTTTATGGCTATTACTTGGCCATTTTCTTTCAAAATGTGTTGAAATATTCTATATGAGAAGACCTAGAGCTTTACCTCTCTGCATGAAGACCTGACAAAACCACCATAGAAAGTCTTGTCAAGTAAACTCTGAACACAAATATTTGCCCTTGATAGCACACAGTTTTGGGACCCGTGAAGATCCGGGATTTGATAGGACTTCAGCAACTCATTTTTGCTTTAAAAGGTGACTATGCTTGACGAAAGAGGCAATTTACAGGATCGGGTGGTCAGACTCGCTGACTTGGTTGATGCATGTCCTCGATCTCTATTGCTGGGATGTTGCTTAGTGTGGCGTTAAACAACAAAACATTTTTATTTATTTTTTGTATATTGCAGGATTGCAGGATGTATAGAATATCCACAACAATATCTTGGTGCTGCTTCACATTTTCAATGTTGTTTTTTTTCAAACTCCTCGAATATATTTGATTTCGAAATACAGAAATCAGATATGCTTTTCTGACTGTAGTGAAGCCTTGATGCAGACTGGCTAAGTAGAGAGTCCGCCTGACGTGACCACCTGTGTCCTCAGATCTTCATGCAGACTGGTATCATATCAGAGTAAAAGATCAGATTTAATGAGACTGTCTTTCTATTGTTATTTTGTCTGTTTCTGATGCTACTCTGTTCAGTTTTGTGTAAAATGATATCCCTGGTTGACAATTAGTGTACAGTCAGCCTACATTCCTAGTTCTGTCATTTCAGTGCTCCCCCCCGACCAGAACAACAACACCATTGTTGCAGCAGGCTGTGAGGCGCAGGACTCCATGTTGAACCTGGTCTTCACTGTGGCGTCCACCTTGTTCTGTGCCGGATGTGCGGCTATGGGGCACATCAACTTCAAGTTTGGCACCAGAGTCACCAGAGTTCTCTCCATGTATGTATGCCCAGGGGCAGAACGGTATCAGAGTGCTTGTCATAAGAGCTAACTGTAAACAGGCTGGGATGGTTGCACTGTTTTTCTGACTGATTATGTCTACATAGCTTGAGGATCTAGATTTTTACCCATGCTATCAACTCACAGGTTGTTGCTCATGCTCTCAACCCCCAGATTATTGTTCATGCTCTCAACCCCAAGGTTGTTGTTGAGAGCATGAACAACAATCTGGGGGTTGAGAGCATGAACAACAATCTGGGGGTTGAGAGCATGAACAACAATCAGGGGGTTGAAAGCATGAACAACAATCTGGGGGTTGAGAGCATGAACAACAATCTGGGGGTTGAAAGCTTGAACAACAATCTGGGGGGTTGAGAGCATGAGCAACAATCTGGGGGTTGAGAGCATGAACAACAATCTGGGGGTTGAGAGCATGAACAACAATCTGGGGGTTTAAAGCATGAACAACAATCTGGGGAGTTGAGAGCATGAACAACAATCTGGGGGATGAAAGCATGAACAACAATCTGGGGTTGAGAGCATGAACAACAACCTGGAGGTTGAGAGCATGAACAACAATCTGGGGGTTGAGAGCATGAGCAACAACCTGGGGGTTGAGAGCATGAACAACAATCTGGGGGTTAAAAGCATGAACAACAATCTGGGGGTTGAGAGCATGAACAACAATCTGGGGGTTGAGAGCATGAACAACAATCTGGGGGTTGAGAGCATGAACAACAATCTGGGGGGTTGAGAGCATGAACAACAATCTGGGGGTTGAGAGCATGAACAACCATCTGGGGGGTGAGAGCATGAACAACAATCTGGAGGTTGAGTGCATAAGCAACAATCTGGGGGTTGAGAGCATGAACAACAACCTTGGGGTTGAGAGCATGAACAACAATCTGGGATCAACCCCCAGATTGTTGTTCATGCTCTCAACCCCCAGATTGTTGTTCATGCTTTCAACCCCCAGATTGTTGTTCATGCTCTCAACCCCCAGATTGTTGTTCATGCTCTCAACCCCCAGATTGTTGTTCATGCTGTCAACCCCCAGATTGTTGTTCATGCTCTCAACCCCCAGATTGTTGTTCATGCTGTCACCCCCAAGATTGTTGTTCATGCTCTCAACCCCCAGATTGTTGTTCATGCTTTCAACCTCCAGATTGTTGTTCATGCTCTCAACCCCAGATTGTTGTTCATGCTGTCACCCCCCAGATTGTTGTTCATGCTCTCAACCCCCAGATTGTTGTTCATGCTGTCAACCCCCAGATTGTTGTTCATGCTCTCAACCCCCAGATTGTTGTTCATGCTCTCAACCCCCAGATTGTTGTTCATGCTGTCAACCCCCAGATTGTTGTTCATGCTCTCAACCCCCAGATTGTTGTTCATGCTCTCAACCCCCAGATTGTTGTTCATGCTGTCAACCCCCAGATTGTTGTTCATGCTCTCAACCCCCAGATTGTTGCTTATGGTCTCAACCAATGGTGTTGCTGCCTGACTTAGTGATACAGCTGAGTGATACAGCTGTTATATTGCTGACTGCATCCTCAGTGTATTTTGTCAGCACTAACCAAAAGACGATAAACGATGGTACTTGTTGTAACCCTGTCTGGCGCTTGGCATTAGGGAGGTAAAACAAGGACTGGCCGGCTCAGTCAGCATACTGTGTCTGAGTGGGGCACACACACACACACACACACACACACACACACACACACACACTGGTATATAAGTGCAATAATCTTGGACGCAGCGTTGAACCCCATTTCACCTCACCTCACCTTTGCCTCGGATAGCCTAGTGGTTAGTGCGTTCACTCGTCACGCTGAAGGCCCGGGTTCGATTCCCGACATGGGTACAATGTGTGAAGCCCATTTCTGGTGTCCCCCGCCGTGATATTGCTGGAATATTGCTAAAAGCGGCGTAAAACCATACTCACTCACTCACTCACTCACCTTTGCCTCACCTTTGCCTCAACTATGCTAAATATCCGTGACTCATTTGTTACCATAACTTTGTTTGGAAAATAATGTCGCCATCTACCATCCCCGTGCACCCCTGCACCTAGGTCCTGTGGTCATGGCTTCAAGGAGCCTGAGGGGAGGTTGGGTAGCCTAGTGGTTAAAGCTTTCGCTCCTCACTGGGTTCGATTCCTGACATGGATACAATGTGTAAAGCCCATTTCTGGTGTCCCCCAACGTGATATTGTTGGAATATTGCTAAAAGTGGCGTAAAACCATACTCACTCACTCACTCACTCAAGTACCCTGACTATTACAACCAGTGGACGGACGCCATATAGATGTAATAGCAAAGAGGACCACAGAAAAATCACAAAATATTCTTAAAAAACATCGGCCCTGATTTAAACTTACTTTCGCATTTGTCTTGTGGCCCATTATATTTGTCAAACCCTTAAGTTCCACATTTGAATATGTTTGTTTATTTGTTGTTGAACGCTGCACTCATCAATATTCCAGTTATATGACAGCTGGTCTGTAAATAATCGAGTCTGGACCATACAATCCAGTGATTGACATCATGAGCATAGAGCAGGCACTGGTGGCCCAGTCGTCTAAGGCGCCGCGATTTGCTGTGCAGAGTTGCGTCCCTTGGGCATGCCAGAAACCTATGATTGTGAATTCAAATCCCAGTTCGCCCCAATTATGTTTCTAGGTTTGTCAGCACCATACCCGTGCTCGTGGGTTTCACCGAAGTGGTAAACGTCTGAGACCTGCATCACTTCGTGCTTTCCTCCCACATTGAGCTGACACGCCGTGATATAACTGGAATAATGTTAAAAGCGGCGTTAAACCCAACTCACTCACTCACTCACTCATAAGCATCAATCTACGCAATTGGGGTACAATGGCATACATCAACCAAGTCAGAGAGTCTGACCACCCGATCCCGTTAGTCGCCTCTTACAACAAGCATAAGTTGCAGAAGACCAATTCTAGCCCAGATCTTCACAGGATACATTTGAATAGGAGCCTCGTTTATAGTCTTTAAAAACTTCGAGCAATTATAGGAATTAATGTGTTAATGCCAGCATGGGACAGGCTTGTGTAAAGGTCATGCACGTCACAGTTGAGATGTAAAATAGTCATGTTAAACTCCTTGCGTTTCCAGGCTGACGTTTGTGGCAGGGACATTGATGATTGCCTTTGTATCCCAAGGTATGTAGTGTCTTCTTGATGGAGATACAAATACATGGTGCAAGCAGGATTTCCTTCATTATTGACTGTCTTTCTTATTTGATCATGTGATTTTCGCTCTTGCATAGACATGTACTTCAATTTGCTAGAGGGGGCACGGGTGGCCCAGTCGTCTAAGGCGCTGCGATTCGCTGTGCAGAGTTGCGTCCCTTGGGCACGCCAGAAACCTGTGATTGTGGGTTCGTATCCCGGTTCGCCCCAATTATGTTTCTAGGTTTGTCAGCACCATACCTGTGCTCGTGGGTTTCACCGAAGTGGTAAACGTCTGAGACCTGCATCACTTCGGGCTTTCCTCCCACATTAAGCTGACACACCGTGATATAACTGGAATAATGTTAAAAGCGGCGTTAAACCAAACTCACTCACTCACTCAATTTGCTAGATAACTTATTTGTTTGATTCATGCCATCTGTCCAAGGTCATCAAGACATGGAAGTTTTGATTATGGTAATTTTTACCTTTGACCAGCATCAATTTGGCCTTACCTCCCACATTAAGCAGACACTCTGTGATATACATTGTAACTGGAATACTGTTCAGAGCAGTGTTAAAACAAACTCACTCACTCACTAGTATTGATATTTTTAAAAAAACAATATTTCAGATATACCCTGGTTAATCTTCCCTGGACTTACCCTGGTTGGGGTTGGCGGTATTCCCCTTCTTGTCACCAACACACAGGTTTGTTTGCTGTTTAACGCCGCAATCGGCTATATTCCAGCTATATGACGGCGGTCTGTAAGTAGTTGAGTCTGGACCAGATAATCCAGTGATTGACCCCATGACCATCGCTCCCCGCAATTGGGATACGATGACATGTTTCAACCAAGTCAGCGACCCTGACCACCCGATCCCGTTAGTCGCCTCTTACTACAAGCATAATATCCTTTTACGGCAAGCATGGGTTGCTAAAGACATGTAAGGTAGTGAAGGATTTCCCTGTATTGTATTCTGCGGCATGGTGGGTCTCACTCGCGGCTTATAGCATGGTACTTCCATCCAGACTTGCATCAACAGCCGCACACACATGCATGCACGTCGCTATGTGAGTGAAATAATCTTGAAGACAACGTTAAACCTCATTTTAACCCAACTCACCTCATTCATGGCTGGGTGTGGTCGGGTAGCCTAATGGTTAAAGCGTTCGCTTGTCACACTGAAGACCCGGGTTCGATTCCCGACATGGGTACAATGTGTGAAGCCCATTTCTGGTGTCCCCAGCCGTGATATTGCTGGAATATTGTTAAAAGCAACGTTAAACCATACTCACTCACTCACTCACTCAAGGCCGAGAAGCTAAAATGGGGATCAGTTGGCTACAGTGGCTGCTGAACAGGAATTTAATTTTTTATAATGATTCAGATAATTTACTGCCGATGTTTTATTATGACAAGACAATATAAATAGAAGAACCTGAAAAGAATTACGGTTTGTTTGCCTCCAACTGAAACATGAGCTTTGTCACTCTGTTGTTGAAATGGCCTCATTACTATGACGTCACTTCACAAACAAAACTATAGAAGAATTGTAAGGGACTAGCTGTAATATCATGGACAATAAACTGTCACGAGTTATTCACCCCTACCTGACACACAAGGTGGTGTTGCTTGTGTGGGAACATGGCCATTCGCCAATAGCCATCAGAGGTTAGGTTCATGTTGTTACTGCTCTTCATAACATGACACTAGCCAATTTGAACTGTAATGAACTTTATGACACTCAGGCCGCAATCAGCGGCATTAGAGGTACAGCATTGATCAACATATACGTCACTATATACATCACTATATACGAGGGCCGCTCAATAAGTTTTGCAACTTGGGCATTTGGGTTTACACAAACAATGTCAACTTGTGGCAGGTGTGACACTAGTAATAACATCAGGTTGACGTGTCATAACAAGTTCCAGACACAACAATAAATTAGATGTGATGGCTTCATTCACATAAGCGTGGTCACAATCATGGATTCTCTCAAACATGAACAATGCGCTGTAATAAAGTTACTTACCAAGGAGGAATGCAAAACAAAAGAAATCCATGAATGCATGTGGCCGCCATATGTGAATGTGGATTCGAACAGTTAAATCACCCACCCTACAGCCCAGACTTAGCCCCAGTGACTATTTCCTGTTCCGGCAAATGAAATCTGCCCTACGTGGAAGACGCTTCCAGGATGACGAGGACATAAAGGCTGGCACAGAGGCGTGGTTAGAGGCGGATTTCTATAAAAGTGGTATTAAAAGCTTGAAGGACAAATGGAATAAGTGTATTGTGGTGAATGGAGATTATATTGAAAAATAAAAGATCAAAAGATATTCTGCGACTTGGTCTTATATTGAAGTTGCAAAACTTTTTGAATGCCCCTCGTACAAATATACAATATATATCAACAGATTTATCACTAGCCAATCAGCATGCAGTAAAATTGTAATGCTCGAGGAGAATTAATGAAGGTAAAACTTTAATGTCTGTGCCTCTGTGGGTAATATTAAATTAATCGTCTATAACGCTCCTCAGTTATTTGGACCCCAAAGGTAGCATTGTAGCGAGGGATCACTGTACAATATTTTATGTTGTTTCAGATTGCAAATCTGTTTTCAAGAGGGAGTTCGACAATTATCGGTTTGCTGTGTGGGGCGTTTGACATATCGGCGGCAGTACAACTGGTCATCAAGGTGAACACCTTTGATTAGCGGCAGGGAAGATGTTGCTCACCTGGGCAATAACCCATGTGGCCTTTGTTTTGTAAATGGATTTAGGCCATTATATTATCCGTGTCAGGTCACTGATTTGCCACCCCTGTTTTCATAAAAAATGGATTGTTTTTAAAAATGTACAATTTGTAAATATTTTGTTATTTTTAAAATGTGGAATATAGTGTTCATTCATAAATTTTATTTTGACATTCATAATTCTAAGAAAAGTTGACATTTTCGCACTTGATCCAACAATTATTAAGATCATGGCCTAAGGTGTGGTATCTGAGTGTGCTCTTCTTATTCAACATCTTTTGTTTGCATAAAATATCTCTATGTAGTTTTATCATATATAGTCACAAGTACAACAATATGTTGCCATATGACCACCAAAATCTTGTCTCCTCTGTAACATGAAAACACTCGCAAAGGAAAACAGACATAAATCTACAATACTTAATTATGGCCTGTTGTTTTTTTACATTTGTGATGTGACTTCAGTGAGGATTAAAACACATTTTGTATTGTGTTTTCTCCATGACTGATGTGTTTCCTCATCCTGCAGGGATTCAGGGGTGGGCTCCAGTACCCAGTACTTGCTGTAAGATCTGACGGAAATGAGTATCCGGGGTGTTAAAATTTATGATTCGTCTGATTCTGGGTCATCGTACCTATTGACGTGGATCGTTTATCTTGATAGTGGTTTGGGTGGCCAAGAAGCAGTTATTTACAGACTGCTATGATATGCCTGGAATATTGCTGACTGCAGTGGAAAACAGCATTCACTCATCTGTGGGGCACAGTTGGCCAGTCGTCGCCTCAATTCTGGGTGCTGAGTTGCGTCCCTTGGGCATGCCAAAAACCTGTCATTGTGGTTCCTATCTCGGATTGCCCCAATTATGTTTCTACAGGCCTCAAAGTTTAAATTTTTACCAAGTAGCCATATGGCTACAAGTATTTTGTTCCAGGTAGCCAGTGGTAAAATTAAGTTGAGCCAATAGTGTAGGTAGCCAAAAGCATTTGAAGTTATCTTCTATCAAATAACTACTATTGTATATTAGTGGAAACTGTACTTGATTTTTGTTATTTGTAACTCGAACAATGATGCAATTTATGTTACTAAATTATATAGGTATATCCTTGCTTATCCAATAAACTATCAACAAATATAAAATACTAATTACATTAATATTTATGTATTTCGGTTCATTGTTGACTTCTGGAGGAATTTTTTGCGAGTACAATTAGTAGCAGACATGTTTATTTTTGTGTCTACATATGTGTAGAAATAGAATTTAGTCGCCACAAGATATTTTTCAAGGTAGTCATTTGGCTACCTCTGAATTTTAGACAAGACCAATTGAAATTTAGGTCGCATTGGCGACCATTTAGTCCCAACTTTGAGGCCTGTTCTAGGTTTATCACAACCATACCCTAACTAATGTGTTTCGCCAAAGTGGTAAACGTCTGAGACCTCCATCACTTGGGGCACTCCTCCCGTATGGAGCTAACATGCCGGGTCAAACTGGAATACTGTTAACAGCAATGCTGCACCCAATTGACTGACTGACTCACCTGGTTATGTTACAGATTGCCTTTGAGAGGGGCTTCTCCCTGCGGAACTCGTACCTGATTGTGACGGGTCTTCACAGCATGGTGATCGTGAGTACCTTCTTCTTCCTGCCCCGAGGATTCATCACCAAGCCAGAGGAACGACCCCCGCAAGAGCAGGTGACGTACACGGTGGAGGATGGGGAGGCGCCATCAGTGGTGTTGCTGGAGAAGGCGGAGGAAGCTGGCGTTGTGATAGTTGATGGAAAGCAGCCATTGAAAGGTTTGTGGTCAGCCTCAGGTTATTGGGTAGTGTTCCATCTGTAGAGGAAACCATGACCTTAACATTCATTTAAATACAGTGGTCCCTCGCTACAACGCTACCAATGGGGTCCAAATAATTGGTGGGCGTTATAGACGATGAGCCGTTTAACTGAGGCCGAGGCAGGGGAGCGCGCTCGGTCAATCTCACGATCTTCGCCTTGTCTCACACATTGCAATGATACAAGTTGTTTACCGTTCATAGTGTAAAAATATATATCCATTATGTTTTCGCCGTTTGTTATTATTTACAAGCCTTAACTGTCACATTCAATGTGAATGTAGTCTACTTACATGAAAATATCGATCGATAATGGTAGTAACAGACGCTATGAGTGAAGAGCCAATCACAATTAATTACACAAGTACAGAGTGATTATCGAAGAGCTCAATAGCGAGGGATCACTGTAGAATATATTGCCCTGATACGAAACCTCCCTGTGAAGATTTGGCGAGACCTCTGTAGAAGCTCATGTCAAGTGAACCCTTAGTGAGCTTTGATTGCCCAATTTAACTGAAGGAAGAGTAGGTTCTTGGGCCAATCAGATGTCAGCTTTACAAAACAATTCGGCTTGATTTCTTTACCACCTTGAGTTTGATAATTAGTCAGACACTTGTTGGTTAATTCCGTTTGCCTAGTTTTCCAAATACATACGGTTAAAGCACTTGTGTCACGCAGAAAGAAACTTGATAATAAAAATAATAGTCTGCATGTAAACATAACTCCATACATAATGTAAGGTCAAAGCACTTCAGTTTTCATTCTCAGCTCAGGACCAGAATTAATGCCAATGATTTCCTGATCAGTCTTGACCTCCAGGACTGCCAATTCCTCAGGTTCTAATTCACTGGTGTCCACTACTAATGGGTGGTCCTCCCATTTGGTATTTCAATGGCCCCTTGGCTAATCACCTGCATCACCAAAACAGTAATCCCATCCAGATTCATCAACTATGCTCCTTCAACAGGATTTTGGGATCAATGGTGAGTCGGACCGCACCCAATCACACCGACTTCAGTTCATAGGAGGCGGGGGGCACGGATGGCCCAGTCATCTGAGGCGCCGCAATTCGCTGTGCAGAGTTGCGTCCCTTGGGCACGCCAGAAACCTATGGTTGTGGGTTCGAATCCTGGTTCGCCCCGATTATGTTTCTAGGTTTGTCAGCACCCTACCCGTGTTCGTGGGTTTCACCGAAGTGGTAAAAATCTCAGACCTGCATCGCTTCGGGCTTTCCTCCCACATTAAGCTGACACGCCACGATATAACTTGAATACTGTTAAACGTGGCGTTAAACCCAACTCTCTCACTCACTCATAGGAGGCCTATTTCAGACAGGCGTGGACCTCCTAATGGTTCGTCGGGACAGATGGTTCAAGATGCCGCGCATCTGATACCTGCCCTTGAGCAACCCCTCACACTTCTCCAGTGGCAAGTTCTCTTGGGACTACTTATGTCGGCCCAGGATCTGACGATCAGAGGATGTCTACACCTGCGTCCTATCCAGCAGTTCCAAGTTCCGCCATACATCAGACATCAGGATCCTTGCGTATCCATCAATCTACTGCCTTACCTCAGGTCTCATCTCAGTTGGTGGACGATAGAGTCGAACGTCTTAGGAAGAGTCTTCTTAACAGCTGTCACCAACGTCACACCTGTTCATAGACGCCTCTCTACAGGGTTGGGGCGTGCATCAAGAGGACCAGATGACTTCATGGCTGTGGTCCGACGTGCAGCGCACATGGCACATAAACAACCTGGGGTTGGAAGCGCTCATCCTGGTTATATCACACTGGCTCCGGAACAGCCAACTCACCATCTCACCATCTCACTCGACAACATCACATTGATCTGGAGTCGGTGGACCAAGGAAAAACTCACTCTCACGCCTTGCTACTGCAGACATTCCGATTGTTCCATCTGGTGGATTGCTTGGGCCTGCAATTCCTGGTCCAGCATATCCCAGGGTGTCAGAACATCTTAGCAGATGATCTATTCAGGCCAGACGAAGATGGCTCTTACAGAGTTTGAGCTTCTTCCCAAGGCCTTCAGTCTCATGTGTCAGCATCTCGGACATCCAAAACTTCTGGGGACTTTAATGACAATATGTTGCGCTCTTTTGAATCCTTTAGTGTGGAGACCGCCTCCGTAGTCTAATGGTAGAGCGTCCGCCCGGAGAGTGGAAGGTCCGGGGTTCGATCCGCAGCCGCGTCATACCAAAACACGTTAAAAGATGGTACTTGTTGTTACCCTGTCTGGCGCTCGGCATTAAGGAGCTAAAACAAGGACTGGTCGGCTCGGAGTCAGTATACTGTGTCTGAGTGGGGTATCCATGTTAAACTGCGGCATGGTATCTCAGTGAGCTAGCACTATAAATCGGCATCAGTCCGGACTAGTACAAGCAGCCACACACACACACACACATACACGTGCATGCACGTCGCTATATAAGTGCAATAATCTTGGACGCGACGTTAAATCCCATTTCACCTCACCTCACATTTTGTGTGGACAAACATCCAACACCCACTGCAGCGTCCCCTAAATACTTGGCCAAATACCTGTTATATCTGCACAGTATGGGACACCTCAAAGGCAGCACCATCACGACCTACCTGGCGGCAGTGAAATTTGTGTTGGCAGTTCTGGAACCTTGGTCATATTTTTAGAACTGCCAACATGGAGTGAATGGCCACCAGGTAGGTCGTGATGTTGCTGCCATGGAGGTGTCGCATTCTGCCTTGACGATCAGAAGGCCCGCTCCCTATCACATGCATGGGTCTGAACGTGGTGCTTTGTTTTCTGTGTGGACCTCCATTTGAGCCTTCTCCACGCAGCTTCCTTCTATGACCTCGCCAAGAAGACGACCTTCCTCCTGGCTTTGGCTGAAACAGAAAGGGTCATCGAGCTACACGCACTCGACATCATCCAGGTCCACTTTGAGCACATGGGGCAGGGAGCCGGAACTTCAATGGCAAGAATCAACTCCCAGGGTCTTCACCATCCCACCTCTTTCCTCGATTGTGGGTATTGAAGATGAGGAGGAACTCCTTCTGTGTCCAGCCAGGGCTCTGAGGGTTTTTATATTCCACTTCAAGACACAGTGTGGTGCCTGGAAATGGCTTTTCATCCCCATCTCGCAAGACATGCACTACAGAAGTCAGTCAACACCATCTCCCTATGGTTATGCGCCGTCATGCTTCAAGGTTATGTGGCCACTGGCCTCGATCCTCCAAGGGCCAACAATCCTCATGACATCAGGGTGTTTGCTTCTACGATGACTCTAGACAGCAACTACTCCATCAGAGCCACCATGCAGGACGTGCCCTTGGAGGACGTCAGAGTTTTGGGCCACTAATATCTCCAGTTGTCCAGAGGTGGACAGGTAGGCTTTATGCTACTTGCATTGGCTTGGTAAGTCAGTTTTTAGACTTTAGCATATGCTATTTTCTATTACTGTCTTTTACTGGGATTTCCTTATTCTCTCGGTCTTACCTTGGACAGGACTGGTTTTTGGGTTGCCAATCTTTACTAGAGCTGCGTTGGATGGTCGTCTGGATGTCTTCGAGGGTTCTTGAGCATCACATCTTAAGGTATGCCCACCTCCGTACCGTCTGATTCAGATGCATTAAGGAGTAATGCAGGATAAGTTAATTTTGTTTGTAAAATCTAAATCTTTTTTACATTTGTATACTTATCCTGCATTACTACATCTAAGGGACCACCCGTCGCAGAGCTGTGTCCCCACGATGTCTTCAGATGTTGCGATCTGGCAATAATGTGAAGATGTGTGACGTCATCACTTCCGTGGGTGCTACGTGATGGGGATTCAAACAACTTTTTTTTAGCTGGATCTCACACAGCTTAGTTTTTCTGTAAAAAAAAGGATTAAGAAAAAAAATTATGTAGATTTTATTCATGTTAGAGATCCAAAGTTTACAAACAAAGGTAACATTCTGAAACACAACATGGACTCAGAACCGCTTCTACTATGATCCGCTCATGGCTGAGCATTGTATTGTCTGTCCTTCCAGAGGAGAGCAAGGCCCCGCTGACGTCCCCGCCAAAGCTGCCAACACTATTCAGCTGCATTCTGTCATCATCATTCATCCTCCATGTCCTCTGGCTCAGTATACTGCAGCTACGCTTCTACTACTTCCTGTCATCTCTCAACCCCATCCTCAACGATGTCCTCCATGGGGACATGGCCCAAGGTAAGACATTCCTGTCCTTTCTCAATCCCATCCTCAACGATGTCCTCCATGGGGGTGTGGCCCAAGGTAAGACATTCCTGCCCTTTCTCATCCCTACCCTTATCAATGTCCTCAATCTGTACGCGGCCCAATGTGAAATATTCCTCTCTGATCCCCACCCTCATCAATGTCCTCAATCTCTATGTGGCCCAAGGTAAGATGTTCCTCTCTGATCCCCACCCTCATCAATGTCCTCAATCTCTATGTGGCCCAAGGTAAGCTATTCCCCTCTCATCCCCACTCTCATCCCCACCCTCATCAATGTCCTCAATCTCTATGTGGCCCAAGGTAAGATGTTCCTCTCTGATCCCCACTCTCATCAACATCCTCAATCTCAACATGGCCCAAGGTAAGCTATTCCCCTCTCATCCCCACTCTCATCCCCACCCTCATCAATGTCCTCAATCTCTATGTGGCCCAAGGTAAGATGTTCCTCTCTGATCCCCACTCTCATCAACATCCTCAATCTCAACATGGCCCAAGGTAAGCTATTCCCCTCTCATCCCCACTCTCATCCCCACCCTCATCAATGTCCTCAATCTCTATGTGGCCCAAGGTAAGATGTTCCTCTCTGATCCCCACTCTCATCAACATCCTCAATCTCAACATGGCCCAAGGTAAGCTATTCCCCTCTCATCCCCACTCTCATCCCCACCCTCATCAATGTCCTCAGTCTGTATGTGGCCCAAAGTAAGACGTTCCTGTCCTCTTTCAATCCAATCCTTATAAATGTCCGTAATCTGTACGTGGGCAAAGGTAAGATACTCCTATCCTCTGTCAACCCAGTCCTCAATGACTTCCTCATGGGGACATGGCTCAGATGCCTTATTCTGTGACCTCCTGTACCCTGTCTGTCCAGCCAGTGATCTTCCAACACATTATGTTAACACAAAAATCAACACATTAATGTTATCACAAAAATGTCCAACTATAGAACGAGACTGAGCAAAGTTAGTTATTTCATGTTCAGGGGTAGAAACTAACCGTTTAAGTCCACAAGTCCTTAAAATGATAACATATAGCAAACCCCTTAAAAATGACAAATTTCTACTGGTCCTTATGCTACCTTTACTATTGGGCAGTATGGCAAGGACTATAGGACTAGTGCCAGTTTCTAACGCTGCATGTTGTCTTTCAGTGAGTTACTACACAAATGTGTCGATGTACATGATGCTGGCCGGAATAGTGACGTCTCCGTTTGCTGGAGTTGTCTATGACTGGCAGAAAGGATTCTTCAACAGTAAGTCACCATAGGGCACACATACCATTGCACAATGCACTGCTACATAGGTGTGGAAGGTGCGGGTAGCTTGGTTGTGGAAACGTGTGGGAATCATTGCTAGGTTTGTCGTAGGAGGCGAGTAAGAGGATGTTGCTAATAACACCCACCAGTGGTTTGTCTGGACCAGTCAGTGTTATTTACAGGCTGCATTGTCATATGCGGAATGTTGCTGACTCAAGCATTGAAAAACATACACACATTAAACGGTTCAGATTTGCTTCCCTTACCTGCGCAAGGATCCCAGATCACCATGATGATGATCCTAGGTTTGCAGCACCATACCAGTGCTTGTTGTTTACACAACAATAGTAAACATGTAAGACGTGCATCACGTCTGACTGCATTAAGCTGACACTGTTCAATGTTGTCACTCACTCACTCACTCACTCACTCACTCACTCACTGTCAAAATTTTGTAGAATGATGCTCATGGTGTCAATAACTAGATTGTCTGGTCCAGACTCAATTAATTACAGATTGTCATTATATAGTTGGAATATTGCTGATTTTTAAACAACATACAAACTTTTCCATCTATCTCCTTCGTACACTTTTTTCATGTTCAATATATACTCAGTATATATTGCTGAAATGGAAAAGAAATGTAGTATATATTGCTGAAATGGAAAAGAAATGTTGTATATATTGCTGAAATGGAAAAGAAATGTAGTATATATTGCTGAAATGGAAAAGTAATGTGGAAAATATAAGTAAAATATTCTTCCCCCAAGACAGCAGATCCAAGCTGCGCCGGGACCTGATGCCATCTGTGATGCCGCTGATGACGGGGACGGTGTTGGGGTTGTTGGTGACGGTGTTCTGCATGATACCAGCAAAGCAGGTCCTCTACCTCACCTTCATCACTGTGGTCTTCTTCCGCTCCTTCCTCTACTGCATGGGAGCCGCCTTCATGGGAGCCGTGTAAGTCTTGACACTTATAGCATGGGAGCCGCCTTCATGGGAGCCGTGTAATTCTTGACACTAATAGCATGGAGCCGCCTTCATGGGAGCCGTGTAAGTCTTCACACTAATAGCATGGAGCCACCTTCATGGGAGCCGTGTAAGTCTTGACATTAATAGCATGGAGCCGCCTTCATGGGAGCCGTGTAAGTCTTGACATTAATAGCATGGAGCCGCCTTCATGGGAGCCGTGTAAGTCTTGACATTAATAGCATGGAGCCGCCTTCATGGGAGCCGTGTAAGTCTTGACACTAATAGCATGAAGCCGCCTTCATGGGAGCCGTGTAAGTCTTGACATTAATAGCATGGAGCCGCCTTCATGGGAGCCGTGTAAGTCTTGACACTAATAGCATGGAGCTGCCTTCATGGGAGCCGTGTAAGTCTTGACATTAATAGCATGGAGCCGCCTTCATGGGAGCCGTGTAAGTCTTGACACTAATAGCATGGAGCCGCCTTCATGGGAGCCATGTAAGTCTTGACACTAATAGCATGGAGCCGCCTTCATGGGAGCCGTGTAAGTCTTGACACTAATAGCATGGGAGCCGCCTTCATGGGAGCCGTGTAAGTCTTGACACTAATAGCATGGAGCCGCCTTCATGGGAGCCATGTAAGTCTTGACACTAATAGCATGGAGCCGCCTTCATGGGAGCCGTGTAAGTCTTGACACGAATAGCATGGAGCCGCCTTCATGGGAGCCGTGTAAGTCTTGACACTAATAGCATGGAGCCGCCTTCATGGGAGCCATGTAAGTCTTGACACTAATAGCATGGAGCCGCCTTCATGGGAGCCGTGTAAGTCTTGACACGAATAGCATGGAGCCGCCTTCATGGGAGCCGTGTAAGTCTTGACATTAATAGCATGGAGCCGCCTTCATGGGAGCCGTGTAAGTCTTGACACTAATAGCATGGAGCCGCCTTCATGGGAGCCATGTAAGTCTTGACACTAATAGCATGGAGCCGCCTTCATGGGAGCCGTGTAAGTCTTGACACTAATAGCATGGAGCCACCTTCATAGGAGCAGTGTAAGTCTTGACATTAATAGCATGGAGCCGCCTTCATGGGAGCCGTGTAAGTCTTGACATTAATAGCATGGAGCCGCCTTCATGGGAGCCGTGTAAGTCTTGACATTAATAGCATGGAGCCGCCTTCATGGGAGCCGTGTAAGTCTTGACATTAATAGCATGGAGCCGCCTTCATGGGAGCCGTGTAAGTCTTGACATTAATAGCATGGAGCCGCCTTCATGGGAGCCGTGTAAGTCTTGACACTAATAGCATGGAGCTGCCTTCATGGGAGCCGTGTAAGTCTTGACACTAATAGCATGGAGCCACCTTCATAGGAGCAGTGTAAGTCTTGACATTAATAGCATGGAGCCGCCTTCATGGGAGCCGTGTAAGTCTTGACATTAATAGCATGGAGCCGCCTTCATGGGAGCCGTGTAAGTCTTGACATTAATAGCATGGAGCCGCCTTCATGGGAGCCGTGTAAGTCTTGACATTAATAGCATGGAGCCGCCTTCATGGGAGCCGTGTAAGTCTTGACATTAATAGCATGGAGCCGCCTTCATGGGAGCCGTGTAAGTCTTGACATTAATAGCATGGAGCCGCCTTCATGGGAGCCGTGTAAGTCTTGACATTAATAGCATGGAGCCGCCTTCATGGGAGCCGTGTAAGTCTTGACATTAATAGCATGGAGCCGCCTTCATGGGAGCCGTGTAAGTCTTGACATTAATAGCATGGAGCCGCCTTCATGGGAGCCATGTAAGTCTTGACACTAATAGCATGGAGCTGCCTTCATGGGAGCCGTGTAAGTCTTGACACTAATAGCATGGAGCCGCCTTCATGGGAGCCGTGTAAGTCTTGACACTAATAGCATGGAGCCGCCTTCATGGGAGCCATGTAAGTCTTGACACTAATAGCATGGAGCTGCCTACATGGGAACCGTGTAAGTCTTGACATTAATAGCATGGAGCCGCCTTCATGGGAGCCGTGTAAGTCTTGACACTAATAGCATGGAGCTGCCTACATGGGAGCCGTGTAAGTGTTGACACTTATAGCATGGAGCTGCCTTCATGGGAGCCATGTAAGTCTTGACATGAATAGCATGGAGCCGCCTTCATGGGAGCCGTGTAAGTCTTGACATAAATAGAATGGAGCCGCCTTCATGGGGGCCGTGTAATTCTTGACACTGAAAGTGCCTGCTTTTACCTCTTCAAGGATGGGATAAGGTAGTTTTATCGAAAAAACCCTATTCACTCAAGGTGGCATTGGTTGCCAAGTGGTTAAAGGTGCTTACAGAGTTACATCCTATAGCCAGGGTCAGCAATAAGCTGCATAGCAGATATACTTCCCTAAGTGGCATTTTGACGTTGGTATGACGAACAAGGGAGATAGTTGTATGGATATACAACTTTTTTATTACAATGAATGTGACTTGCTTAAAACCAGTGTTAGTGTCTGCACTGAAACACTGCATTCATTGTAATAAAAAAGTTGTATGTCCATAGAACTATCTCCTTTGTTTGGGTATATACTAGGTTTTTTAACTCTACTCATGCTTATGAATATTTGTTATTTTCCAGATTCCCCAGTGAATACTTTGGATTACTGTATGGTCTCATGATCATAGCTGGAGGGATATTTTCCTTCATTCAGTATGGCTTGTTCAAGTGGGCAGAGCAATCTGGATATTTTCAGGTAGGAGAAGTGGTAGTTGTGGTAAGCTTGGCCCACTGTAGACACCATCATCAGCCTTTGTGTTAGCCCACTGTAGACACCATCATCAGGCCTTATGTTAGCCCACTGTAGACACCATCATCAGGCCTTATGTTAGCCAACTGTAGACACCATCATCAGGCCTTATGTTAGCCAACTGTAGACACCATCATCAGCCCTTATGTTAGCCCACTGTAGACACCATCATCAGGCCTTATGTTAGCCCACTGTAGACACCATCATCAGGCCTTATGTTAGCCCACTGTAGACACCATCATCAGGCCTAATGTTAGCCAACTGTAGACACCATCATCAGGCCTTATGTTAGCCCACTGTAGGCACCATCATCAGGCCTTATGTCAGCTCACTGTAGACATCATCATCAGGCCTTATATTAGCCAACTGTCAGCACCATCATCAGGCCTTATGTTAGCCAACTGTAGACACCATCATCAGCCCTTATGTTAGCCCACTGTAGACACCATCATCAGGCCTTATGTTAGCCCACTGTAGACACCATCATCAGGCCTTATGTTAGCCCACTGTAGACACCATCATCAGGCCTTATGTTAGCCCACTGTAGACACCATCATCAGGCCTTATGTTAGCCAACTGTAGACATCATCATCAGGCCTTATATTAGCCAACTGTCAGCACCATCATCAGGCCTTATGTTAGCCAACTGTAGACACCATCATCAGGCCTTATGTTAGCCAACTGTAGACATCATCATCAGGCCTTATATTAGCCAACTGTCAGCACCATCATCAGGCCTTATGTTAGCCAACTGTAGACACCATCATCAGGCCTTATGTCAGTTCACTGTAGACACCATCATCAGGCCTTATGTTAGCCCACTGTAGACACCATCATCAGGCCTAATGTTAGCCAACTGTAGACATCATCATCAGGCCTTATATTAGCCAACTGTCAGCACCATCATCAGGCCTTATGTTAGCCAACTGTAGACACCATCATCAGGCCTTATGTCAGCTCACTGTAGTCACCTTCATCAGGCCTTATGTTAGCCCACTGTAGACACCATCATCAGGCCTTATGTTAGCCAACTGTAGACATCATCATCAGGCCTTATATTAGCCAACTGTAGACACCATCATCAGGCCTGATGTTAGCCCACTGTAGACACCATCATCAGGCCTTATGTTAGCCAACTGTAGACACCATCATCAGGCCTTATGTTAGCCAACTGTAGACATCATCATCAGGCCTTATATTAGCCAACTGTCAGCACCATCATCAGGCCTTATGTTAGCCAACTGTAGATACCATCATCAGGCCTTATGTTAGAACACTGTAGACATCATCATCAGGTCTTATGTTAGCCAACTGTAGACACCATCATCAGGCCTTATGTTAGCCAACTGTAGACACCATCATCAGGCCTTATGTTAGCCCACTGTGGACACCATCATCAGGCCTTATGTTAGCCAACTGTAGACATCATCATCAGCCCTTATGTTAGCCAACTGTAGGCCCCATCATCAGGCCTTATGTCAGCTCACTGTAGACACCATCATCAGGCCTTATGTTAGCCAACTGTAGACATCATCATCAGGCCTTATGTTAGCCAACTGTAGACATCATCATCAGGCCTTATGTTAGCCAACTGTAGACATCATCATCAGCCCTTATGTTAGCCAACTGTAGGCCCCATCATCAGGCCTTATGTCAGCTCACTGTAGACAACATTGCAAATATAAGCTCTGCTCAAACACCTGTTTGCCATGTTCGCTAAATGTAACAATTTAGAAACTTGTTTGGTGAGTAAGATTTTACTTGAAGGATCCTTTGAACATTTCATGATCTGAATGTTTAGATATTTTTTTATATTTAAAAAATACTCAAACCACAATGTGTTGACATTTTTAATTACCGGTATGATTATATGTAGTATTGTTTGTTTGATAGGAATTACTTAGAAGTTGACTGATGACGAAGTAGACACAATTTATGGATAACAACTTTCTTTAATACTGTAAAGGCGACGTTTCGGTATAGATCCTAATACCGTTGTCAAGCAAGACTGAATGAGGAACATTGTACAGAATATATATACAGATATATAGAGGTTATCACGCGAGTGTGTTTGGGGATGGTAAATATCCTGCATTAGGAATAAACATTGTATTTAGCGAGCCTTGGCGAGCTAAATACATAGTGTTTATTCCTAATACAGGATATTTACCATCCCCAAACACACAAGCGTGATAACCTCTTTATCATATAATGTCATTCTTTAATTCTGTGCTTTAAAATCGCTTTCCCTCTCTCACAAACATTACCGAAACATTGCGAATTTTCCTGGAATGCGCGCATTAATATTTATTACGTCACAGGGTAAGTGATTAGTCAGTCGGACAGTGACAGTAGCCAATATAGTTCCAACTGAAATCTGTTTCTTATACAGTGGCGAAGCAACTTATAGGCAAAACAACAGTTGTTTTTAATTGCCTTTCGCGGCAAGCCATCGGTCTGTCCGCTAGAGTAACTGCCCTTTGTCAAAGGGAAGCTACTCTAACTCTAGTCTATGAGACGTCACGGCCACGGTCAGACGTTGTTGACAGTCGGTCTGTCCTTTCATAACGTTAAGAAGTGTAGTCAGATGTACACACAGCGACAAAACGAAACAAGGTAACAGTTCAAACATATTTCGGCCGAATCCAACCATTTTAATTTGTGGAGAAAGTTTCAAGCCACAGAGGTCTACAAGCACAGATATGGCTACTGATCCCGCTTGGCTAGGCCTCGTGCCCTCGCAAAATTGTTTCGAAATTTATATCTTGAAAGTTGCTAAAACTTATAAAATGCCTTAGCTACGTCACAGACTGTTCGTTTGATAATGATAGCAATTATCCCTGTAGTTTATCCAGATTCACGATGGTTAATTCTGACTCGATCGCCGAATGACGAGGGCGACGCCATGCTTGTTTATAAACAGTGAAAGTAGTCCTACTTGACCTTTGATATTTGCATCTCTATCCGCATATGACCCCAACGGATATCGTTTTTATCCGTTGGCTTTATCCTGCCGAGAAACCTACCCATTATATGATAAATATATATATATATATGTGTGTGTGTGTAGGTGGAGGATTAACAGAAGACCCGAATTTGATTCCCCACATGGGTAAAATGTGTGAAGCCCATTTCTGGTGTCCCCTGCGGTGATATTGCCGAAATATTGATAAAACCATACTGACTCACTCATGCAATAGCCTTTGTTTACACAAATAATTTATTTATTTTTCAGGTCAACATCTTCTTCCTGGTCCTGGTGTCAGTATCCTTCATCCATCCTGTCTTTCAGTGGATCCGCTCTCGCCGCGCGGAGTCGGTCGAACTCACGCAGGAGGAACAGTAACTCTAGTCACATGACATATCACATGGTGTATCACATGACATGTCACATGATGTAACCCATGATGCATCACATTAGGGATGCAACAATACTACCCTATGTCATGACCTCAATGAGATATAATGAATGGATTTTGTACACTTAAGCCTAGTTGAAATCGTTCCATACAAACGATTGTCTAAATAACTGGTCATACCATACCTTGTCCTTCAATGTACAGAGACTTGTGAACAACCCTACATCACATGACACATCACATGACACATCACATGACCTCACATGACACATCACATGTCACAGATGTTGCTTTGGTCACAGTTTCCTGAGCTGTGATACATCAAATACTGTATATCAAGAAATTAGTGCATCACCGACTTAATGCATGTGACGACCCCTGACCTAAAATGCGTCATGAAATTAATAGGAGGAGCCCTGCCTCTAAAAATTTTGACTAATCCCCAAACGTTAATGCCAAGAATTCCATGACATACATGTATTATGGGGTGATAGCAGTTTAATTGAATACTATCATTTGCTATGTTCTTAAACGTAACTTCAACTGCTTGACATGTGATCTAAGTTCCATGACATCACAAGCAGGTAAATCCAAATAACATGTATTCAAATGAGAGAGGTCGGGTCGCAGAGCGACAGAATATATAGTTATACAGAAACATTCATGAAATACCTGCTTGTCTGGTTTACCATCAAACAAGCTTAGTGTGTATCTAACTCACACATGTTACATTAGTCACAGAGGTATTTTCATTTAAAGAAAAAAATGTCATGTTTTTATTGTGCCTTTATGTCTTGTTACAGCAGTGTATGATGGATGTGTATATCATATATTATTGTGCTTTACGAGATGACATATTTTACAGATGTATTTTTGGGACTACTGTTCCATGTTTTGTTAATATTCCGGGTTTTACATAGCCTTGTCGGGGGCACGGGTGGCCCAGTCGTCTAAGACGCCGCGATTCGCTGTGCAGAGTTGCGTCCTTTGGGCACGCCAGAAACCTATGATTGTGAGTTCGAATCCCGGTTTCTAGGTTTGTCAGCTCCATACCAGTGCTTGTGGGTTTCACCAAAGTGGTAAACGTCTGAGACCTGCATCACTTGGGGCTCTCCTCCTACATTAAGCTGACACGCCGTGATATAACTGGAATACTGTTAAAAGCGGCGTTAAACCAAACTCACTCACTCACTCACATAGCCTTGTCATGATGACTCGGCACATATTATTAGGGGAGGGGGAACATTTTCTAAATTTTGGGGTCATGATTTTCTTTACACTAATACAGTTGAGTTCTTACTATTTTTAATCAGTTTGTGCAGTTATCATGGTTATGTAATACATGCAGTAAGTGTCATTTTAGAATTTTCTTAGAATACATTAGAATCTCGATAAGCCATTACCCAGTCCAGGCAACTTGGGAGACCTGGATGTTCAGGTTGGAAGGATAAACTTCAAATTGAGTCTGAATTTTGATTTCCTTAGCAAATTCATTGTGTCATTTATGACTCCTACCAAAAACTTTTGTGAGTATTTCAGGAACTTATTGCTGCAAATACTCATGAATTACACGTCGTGTAAAAGCCTGGTATTGGACATTTATTCTGCATCTGGGAGACCAGCATTGCTGTATCTCAAACGTGTATGTGCAGTCATTAGGTCATCTCCCCGAGGCAAGCGTGTCCACTAGACTATATCAAAGACTAGATTCTACCCTTGCCACATCAAGGCCATTTTACTTAGCTCCGCCTCGCCTAGATCACAGTTCAGCCCCTTGTAATGAAATGAAAATGCAATCAGATCGCTGTTCATATCTCGTATAGCTTCCCAAAGATGGCAACTACCATAGCCGAAGACCTTGTCGATCAGATAACAAAACATTTGCGATTTCATCCCTGATCCAAAATAGAGGCAGGTGGTTTAAACGATGAACAGATATATTCTTGTCAACAAAGACAGGCAGTGGTAAATCACTATCATACGGTGCACCAGTTGTGGATGTTGATTTTGTGAAACGTTCTCTGATTGGATTATCGATATGTGCATTAGTCTCCAATCATATTTAGCACAGATAAGTGGACTTGATGTGGCTAGGGTTGAGACAAGACTTCGATAAAAAGCCTAGTGGACGCTTTTGCCTCGGGAAGATGGTATTAAGTTCATTGTCATAATTTTCTCCACAATTGCCTAAAGAACATATCAAGATTTTGCCCTGAGGTAGTAACCATGTGTTTTCTTTCTTATTATTATCTTTATATTTCTTTATACTGAAACACTTTGAAAATGCATAGTGGATACTGACTTCAGTAACAAGTGATTGGATTGGAGTGAATTTCTTTTTTCAGTCAGTTTACAGATTCAAATTATTTCCCAGATTCCACTAAGCATTTTCCTAGTTCGTCAGTGTACACACTGCACCTTGCTCTGCTTAATCCCATCCAAGTTGAGGGGCGGTCGGGTAGCCTAGTGGTTAAAGCGTTCGCTCGGCATGCCAAAGACCCAGGTTCAATTCCCAACTTAGGTACAATGTGTGAAGCCCATTTCTGGTGTCCCCCCCCCACCATGATGTTGCTGGAATATTGCTAAAAGCGGTGTAAAACCATACTCACTCACCTACAGCTTGTTATTATAAAGTTTATGTATCCATGTATGCCTGTCCTTAGTCTATTATGAAATGCTCCTGTATATTAATATGCATTTATACCCAACATCCTGTCTCAATTCAAGGTCTTTATTTGTTATTTAACCATAGGTGTTAGGAATAATCAATCTCATTAAAATCAGACCTCAGTTCTCGCTACCGCTAAACAAAGATCTGAGGACATCCCGTTAGGGGTCATGTCAGAACGACCTGTCATCCGACCAATCAGAGCATCGCTTACCAGATGATGAAAGTGACAGTCGAAATGTGATTTCTAATCATGCAACCTTGAAAACTTTAATTCCGAACGATAGTTACGGGTTTAACGACTGAATCCATACAATCTAGACCATCTAATAGCCATTCCAGAATGTTCTTTTGTTCAGTATTCAAATTTGTAATTGAGAATTTGTCAAAATATGTTTCGAAGCATAGTCGCCAATTTGAAATAAGTGCCGTAAAGCACGAGAAAGCTGCCTTCTGATTGGTCATTTCATTGGTCAGTCAAAGTTCGCGCAAGGTCGTTCTGACGTGACCAGTAATGGGATGTCCTCAGATCTTTGTTTAGCTGTAGCAAGAACTAGGATCTGATTTTAATGAGATTGTAGGAATAATACACCTACATTTGTCTTTTGTTGCTATGTTAAGATTTAACTAGGGGTGATCGGTAGACTGGTGGTTAAAGTGTTCGCTAGTCATGCTTTAAGACCTGGGTTCGATTCCTGACAGGGGTACGATGGTTGAAGCCCATTTCTAGTGTCCTCCGCCGTGATATTGCTGGAATATTGCTAAAAGCGGCGTAAAACCTCACTCACTCACTCACTAAGATTAAATTTGTCAGAGCTTTAATACAGTTCAAGACATGAAGTAGAATCAAGTGAAGATTCTTTTGTTCATTCATGCATACCAGTAATCTCCGCCATCTTTGTTGTCAGGCACTGGTGAGCGAAATCATTGCACCAAAAACCAACATGTACCAAACTTCATCACTCTTGATGGATTGACTTTACAATATAATTAATCATTGCCAAAGAAACAATGCTATTTTTAGGTGAAAAGAATTATGAGAGACTTCTATCAAAGAGAACTTATCTTATCTTTGTGGGTCTAACCGAAGTGGGTTAAAGATGGACTCTTTATTTTCATCAACATGACTCACAGGGTTAATCTCGCCAAAAGTTGCTCAAATGACATGAAACATGACTTACCGTATTCGACATAATAAGCGCCCAGGGCACTCTCAAAATTAGAAATAGGGGACTTTTATTAGAATATTATTTGGATGAAAAAAGTTGAAAGATTTATGCTGACAGCCTGAAATGTTTATATACGAGAGATATATTTTTCCAGAATGTAATTGCCCATAATTAAGGACAATAACAATCAAACTCCATGGTTAATCAAACTACAAGTCTCAAAATGTTTGCATTTCGTTCTGACTATGCATGCATTCTGTCTGCCTTTTATATGTTTGAGTAAAGATAAAACCTTTGTCAACTTCAGTGTATGCATGATCAGATCTTTTTATGCAGTTTTAAGTTTTAAGTAGTTTTTACAAGGGCTCAGGTAAAACAATTTTCAATAGGACATTTTGTTCCCAACTTAAGACCTACAGTGAGTACCCGGGTAATACGTCCCAACTTAAGACCTACAGCGAGTACCCAGGTAATACGTCCCAACTTAAGACCTACAGTGAGTACCCGGGTAATACGTCCCAACTTAAGACCTACAGCGAGTACCCAGGTAATACGTCCCAACTTAAGACCTACAGCAAGTACCCAGGTAATACGTCCCAACTTAAGACCTACAGTGAGTACCCGGGTAATACGTCCCAACTTAAGACCTACAGGGAGTACCCGGGTAATACGTCCCAACCTAAGACCTACAGTGAGTAACCGGGTAATACGTCCCAACTTAAGACCTACAGCGAGTACCCGGGTAATACGTCCCAACTTAAGACCTACAGCGAGTACCCGGGTAATACGTCCCAGCCTTATATAATACTACTCAAAAGAAGTTAAAGAACACCTGATTCTTTTATACAGACAGTTAATGTCATGGCGTTTTAATTATAGTAACATAAAATAATAGAGTGTTCTTTAACTTCAGAGAGTATTACATACATGGCTTGTTGGTGAGGTGTTGACACATTTGTTGCCAAAATTGTTGTCCATTGTATATTTTCGTATTAATTCTGTCAATATTGACATTGCTTTATATTATTTTATCATGACAAGCTTTTTGCCAAATAAGCAGCATTATAAGTCAGGATAGTGGTATGTTATACTTGCCTAAATTTTAGGATTAAAGATGTTTACTTTGTTACTATTGGCCATATTGACCATTGTTTTACTTTCTCATGACTCTTGAAGATTCTTTTAATGGATCCTGTATTTATGCTAATAATTGCATTTGTAGCCAAACGGCTGGAATTTCTGGGCTCAATCGTAACGCCACCAGAAGCTTTGAGGAGTTATGTCCCTCCTTTTCATCAATCAGATTCCACCTCTCATATCACTTGCATTTGCCTCAAACAAAATGGATAATCGATAATCCAGATCTATATTGTAATAAAACAGGTCTTACATCGCGAAGTGAGCACCTTGATTAAAAACAGGAAAAGATCTGAAAAATATCTGTTGACGCTAAGCGGCTGAAATCTGCACACGGTTTATGAACTGCATGTTGATTTCGTTATGCGATTTTGATTGGACTAAGCATAGACTCGTTAGTCCGGCCAAAATATAACTCCGGAATTCCAGCCTAGTTCGGCAAGGGTGGAAACTTGACTTTTAGTGTCAGTTAGCTCGCTTGCCTTGGGAAGATGCTAACAATTTTCTGCCTGACTTTATTATGGAATGCATTGGTGCACCGGTGCATTGTGAGTTTCCATGAGATGATACAATACATGAAACTTTATTTTTTTGTATCAAATATGAGACAATATACTTGCCAAAATAAATTACTTATTAGCTTTTGTGACGTAAATATGCGTATCGGGATATGTATCGTAGCATGACCTTTGTATCATGATATGTATCATGTTATGACCTTGCTGTATTGTTTCACCCTTACTGTTTATGATTTTTGTAGTTTTCTGACATCTTAAATGCATTTCTTGGCAAGTTTCGCTTGTAGCTTTGTACAGTGATTTTTATTTTACCTGATTTTATGGAGCTTTAACTTGCTAGGACATCACAATCCGATTACATCACATTCTCCTGTTCACTTCAAGAAGTCCGGTCCGCTTGATTGAGTCCATGTACTTAGTCAAAGGTGAAAAAACATGTATAGAACAATGGAATAACATTACCAAAGGTTTATAATTAGAATGCCCTACTTGATCTAGAGAAGTTGGGTTTATAATTAGAATGCCCTACTTGATCTAGAGAAGTTGGGTGTATAATT